GTTAAGACTATTTGATCTATGATGTATTTAACTGAGGTTCCTTTATTTTTAGTTTACTATCTAGGATACTAGAACCACTCAATATCTGAACCCATGCAATCTATCTATCTATCTATCTATCTATCTATCACCCCTTTTTTTCTTTTCTTTCTTTTTTTTTGTTTTGTTTTTTTTGTTTTTGTTTTTTCGAGACAGGGTTTCTCTGTATAGCCCTGGCTGTCCTGGAACTCACTCTGTAGACCAGGCTGGCCTCGAACTCAGAAATCCACCTGCCTCTGCCTCCCAAGTGCTGGAATCAAAAGCATGCGACACCACTGCCCAGCTCTATCATCTCTTATAAGCATCACCTGTCAATAAAAAAAAAGCTGATGGCCAATGAGTTGAGGCAAGAAATAGGTGGGATGCTGGAAGGAAGGAAGAGGATGCTAGGAGATAGTGACGGGTGCAATTCAAGTAAGCTGCTTGGGAGATCAAAAGCAGCAGGTCAGGACTGAAGGAGAGGTAACTAGCCATGTTGAAGACATAGAATGAGTTACATACATTACGAGCTAGTCAGGAAATGAGGCAAGGCTTGTGGCCAAGGCATTTATTAATAGTCTCAGTGTCATCATTCTGCGAGCAGGGAATGGGAAGGAAAAGTGGATTATTTTTACATATACATAATTGCTTAGTGTCTTCTTTATTTTCTCCTTTGTTAATATGTAGAGGCCTTCTGTATTTCTTTTAATTTTGATATCTACTTATCAGATGTTAGAACAGCCCCACCAGCATGTTTTTGTTTCCCCTTGCTTGCTTTCCCTCCTTCCCTGTTAGTGTCTTCATCAGTGACATGTGTTTCTTGCAGACAATGGGTAGCTGGATTTAGTTAAATCTTTATTGGCGAGGTGGGGTCATTTATGTTTAAGGGTACTAGTATGCCTACTAACTACTGTGATTTTGTCCATTGTTTCTCTCATTGGTTGGGTTAGTGTTTGTTTTTTACTTCCTCCCGTATTAGTATCAGAGGCTCGATGGATTACTGTGTAGGTCTTGATGGATTCCTTCTTAGTTTTTCCTTGTTCAGCTATTTGTCTCATGAAACTCATTTTTCTTTTTGTGATGTTGTGACTGAGACTTTCCCCCTCCTCTGTACAACATTCTTTTAAGTATTTCTCCAGCACTGATCTGATGGTCATGTAGTGTATTAGTCTGTGCTTGACTTGAAATGCCTGTCAAACTTAAACGATAGCTTTGCCAACTATAGAAATCTTGATGGGTAATTATTCTCTTTCAGGACTGAAACATATCATTCCATGCTACCCAGGATTTAAGGCTTGCTGATGGGGTCTGATGTTCTGCCATTATAAGTGAGTTAATGTTTTTCATTACAGCTTTAAATATTTACTTTGTATGTTCTTCTGAGACAGGTTTTCATGTATGTCCTTGCACTCACTATAGAGCTTAAACTTCTGATCTTCCTGCCTTCTTCACCTCCCAAGTACTGCAATTAGAGGTGTGCATGGCCATAACCAATTTTTGTTGTGCTAGAGATTAAACTTGTGGCCTCAGGCAAGTGTTCTACCAACTGAGCTATCCCAACACTTTTATATTGCTGACATGTTCATTATGTTGTAGAAACATGATATATACTCACTTATAAGTGAATACTAGCTGTAAAGGATAATTTACACTACATTCCACAGACCCAGAGAGACCAAGTAACAAGGAGGGCTTAGGTGGGGTAATGAAAGGTTCTTCCTGGGAAGATGAGGCATTAGAATGGCCTCTTTCCAGGTCCTCAAAAATTGGAGACTGGGTTAAGTGGTTAAGAGCACACAATGCTCTTGCAGAGGACCCGAGTTTCAGTACTAGCACCCATACTGTTGGGCAGCTCATAACTGCCTCCAGCTTCAGGGGTAGCTCATGCTTCTGGCCTCTCCAGGAACTGCCATTCATGTGCACTTACCCATACACATAACCCAAATTTAAAATCTCTAAAAAAATAAGAGTTCAGAAAAAGAAAAAGACTGTGTGTGTGTGCAAGGTAAGGAGGGGTTATCAGCTGAACTGAGACTCTGGTCCTTCCTGTGGCTTATGATGCTGCTGACTGGCTACTGATTGAGTGTCTGCTGTCTCCCAGAGGTTGTTCTTCCTTTTTGTGCAACAGGATGTCTGCTGGTCAAGTTTTACATTCTGTGGACTGGGCAGGTTTTCTCACTCTGTCCTGACTCTCCACATCACACTGCTGGGATGACTAGTTTTAGCTGAAGGATGTCTCCTAAATGCAACAGAGTATGAGCTGCAGCCACAGGATGAGACTGGGACAGCTAGAGGCCCCAGCCTCATCCCTTTAAGATCTCCTGAATATTAAGCGCCCTGCTGGAGGGATCCAGCTGTAGGTATCACAAACACTCCTTGGAACTTCAGTAGTCTTAAGTATTAACAGTAGTATCAGGTAGGTGACTCTGGAATTTGATCCACCCATGGGTCTCATATCCATGTGATAATTTCTCCATGATTTTCCAGTCTGAGAACATACTATCACCTGCATCCTTTGGTTTGTCGGTGACTGACTGGCTCTCCTGCTCTCCACAACTGCATGTCTGGACCTCCCTCTATCTCGGAGGTTGAGGCTCTGTGGATGCTCCCTGGTTTCAGGTCTCCCAGGTAGCTATTTATAAAAATAGATTCTCCCTTCAGATTGCTTCTGGCTACTGTTCTCTGAGTCATACAGTGTGACAAATGAGATTCTCTCTGCTGTTGGACTTTTCTGCTGGGGCAATTACTGATGCGTCAAGCCTGGATTTAAGGCTTAGAAGGGCTGTGGGTTTGTCCTGGGTATAAGACTGCCTGAGTTTCATTTCGCATATCTTTTGCAAGTGGCTTCTATTTTGCCTCCCCATACCTGCCAGGGAACTGTATGGCCGAGGATGAGCTTGGTCTCGGTTTTGGTCTCCCCCCCCACACACACACATTTTTTTTTTTCTGACAATTTCTCTTCTGATCCCTTTGCTTCACTTGTGTAGACTTCTGAAGCTCTTCCCTTTTCACTTTGGGATATAATCCGTTTCTCATTCAGCTTCTCCTTCCTAGGCTCATGGAGAAGCAGCCTCCAATCTCCCACTGTACCTATAAATTCATGTAGGGTGTCAGTATTCAGCTAAGCAGATCTATAAGCTACCCCAAAACTTTCTCTTGGCCACCAACTTTTCTCTCCTTCAATGAGATACTGAGTGCAGAGATATAAGAAGTCACTGGGGGTATGGGAGAGATGGTTAAGGGCACACTTGTTCTTGCAGAGGCTTCCAGTTTGGATCTCAGCACTCATAAGCAGCTCACAACCACTTCCAGTTTCAGGGAATCCCGTACCCTTGTCTGATCCCTAGGGGCATTGGCCACACATGTGGTGTACATATATGCAAGCATACACTCATACCCATGAAATAAAAAGAAATCTTTGAAGAAAAAAACAAAACAAAACCAAGCTCTGTGCCTAAGTTGGTGGCAGGCTGCTTCTCTACCACAGAAAACTGAGTTATTTTTGTTCTCAGAGACAATTCCATATGTAGGTTTTGGGAGTGGTATTAATTGCTTTTTTAAATTGTTGCTGGTGGGACAAAATATCTAATAAATGCAACAAAAGGAAGAGGGAATTGTTGCACAATTTGAGGGTACAGTCCATCACAGAGGACAAGGGACTGTGGTGGGTGTAGGAGGCAGTGGTCACATTAAGCTCACAGTGATGAAGCAGGAGGAGGAGAATCTGAAAGATGATTTAAATATGCATGCACCGTAAGGGAGAGAATGTATAACAAAACTTAAGAGAACAAGAAATGGTGCACAGAATTTAGATCATGTGAAGCAAGACTGGGACAAATTAATGTAGTTCTATACCTATGTCTAACACTCTACCCCCGAAAGGTTTCTCTCTGTAGCCCTGGCTGTCTTGGATCTCACTCTGTAGACTAGACTGACCTCACTCTGTAGACTAGACTGATCTGCCTGCCTCTGCCTTCTGGGATTAACGGTGAGCATCACCACCCAGCTTCCAGTAGATTGTCATGATTCTATCTCCTCTCTTGCTTTAGCAACTCAATACTAGCAGTCCATGTCCCCCAGTACCATGTTTTAGCATGAGACCTGGTCGTCGAGCCTCTTTGCTGTTTTCAGTGATCATTAGTTTTTGACAAGGTCTTGGTATCTACTTCAGGCTGGCCTTAAATCCATTATCCTCCTGCTCAGCAATACTATGCGCCACCACGCGAATATTTTAGTTTTAACTAGGGATTTGAAAGAGGGGTAGAGGCGCAAAAGTATTTGTACGAGGGGCTGCTCTTTTGCCTCCTTACCCACTTATCCGATGAGATAATGGGTAGCGATCCTTGTGGAACTTGTAAAGCAAGTTACAAGCAGTATAGTCTAGAAAGGCCTATCTGGTCGGAACACGTGCTCAAAGACCAGGCTAGCTCTGGTGTAGCCCTATGCCCGCCACATCCCTTCGGGTTCAGAGTTGCCTCTCTCCTGCTCGTCGCGTGAGGTGTCGGTTGTTGGACACGGACCAGCAGTTCTGACGGCAGAGGCGGGCAAGGCCGGCTAGCGGGGGAACCACGCGGAGCCAGCACTGCGCCTGATCCACAGTTGAAGAAACCGCTCTGGGGCTGGACGGAGGCGGAGCAGAAGCTCACTCTGGACCAACAGAAGAGCCTTAAGATGCTAGGAGCGATCCTGGGGCGGGCCCCGGCGCGAGGCACTCTGGGATTTGTAGTTTACTTCCCGGACAGCTCCTCTCTCATTTCGGCCGCCCGCCTTTTATTCCTCGCTCTCTCCCTGCACGCCGACTACTTTGTCGCGGCACGTCCTCACGTACGACTACACTACCCAGAAATCTCTCCTTCGCGCTCTGGCAGGCGCAGGGTCTTCCTTGAACTACAGTTCCCAGAAGGCCACTGGAGAAGGGCTTTCCCCACTTTCCCGGGACCGCAATTCCCGGAGACTAGATTTCGCGGCTTTTCTCTGTGTTGGGTTTCTCTTGGAGCTGGTTAGGCTTTGACCGGCCAGCAGACCCACAGCGACGACGTGTTCCGTCGTGTCCAGTCACAGAGTGTACTCTTTGGCCGGGCTTTCTGTCTTTTCAGCCACTTTTGCTGGACAGGCCGTCGCAGCTGGCCTGAGCAGTGACCTGGCGGGCCGCGCCTGCGCCCTGCCGCGTTTCCTGCCTGGCTGGTGGTGGCGGCCATTTTGTTCATCCTCCTCCTCCTCCTGCTCCTCCTGGTTGGAGCGCAGTGTCCGGAGCGGGCTGGGGGGAGCGAACCCGAGAGAGGGGTTCAGTACCTTTTCATCTGTCCCCAGCCGGCGCCCGGAGCCCCCCTCCCCTTCCTTCCCGCCCCCTCCCCTCCCCAGCCCTGCCCTCCCCCTTGTCCCGGGATCACTCCGTCGCACCCACCATGATGGAAGACGACGGACAGCCCCGGACTCTGTGAGTACCCGAGACCCGGGGTGCCAGGCACCGAGTGGCCCGGGCACTGCGGGATGCTAAGGGAGGGAGAGCAGAGACCGGGACTAGCAGCGGACGGTGTTGCGGTGGCGCGGCTGTGAAGTGCATTCTTCATCTGTCCCCTTTCCCAGAGAAGGAAACCCTCCCTTCCCCCCAAACACAGTCACTTCCTAGGGTCTAGGGCTTGTCTCGACCTTTTCCTCCCGACCCCTTTTTTGTACCCTCTTGCTTGGCTGGGCTTGTGCACGGCTGAGGCTGTCAGGCGCGGGATAGCTCCTGTTCTCCCTGTGCTTTGGGGTCCCCGGGCTGAGCCAGGAGCGGCGGGTCCCTACGGGGGCTGGGCTTGGCGGGGGTGGGACCGCTGCTGCATCCTTTGGCATGAACACTCAGCCTCAGTCCACGTCCTCAGCAGTCCACGTCCTCACCCTCAGTCGCTCCGAGTCCTTCTCCCCAGCCTACCACTCTTTAACCAGAGGAACCCCTTGTCTCTTTCTGCCCCACGTGCCCCACGCTGTCAGAAACACCCGCCTAGCGCCTGATGCTTTTGAAGTGCCAAAGTGATTGCCTTTTGCCGCCGTGCACCACCTCTGTCCCTTGGATAACGAAGTTTACTTTGAGCGCTCACTGCGCCAAACTGACAACCAGTTTAAACTCCTTTCGCTCAGTTAGTGATGCCGCTTTCTAATCCGTTTGTGCGTCCGGACCATCAGAGTTCGGTAAAAGGATGTCTGCTCCGCTATTTATTGCGTGTCTTTTGAGTGCTATTTTTCGCGGTATAGCTGTCGGGTTTCACCTGAAGCCCAATCTAATGAATGAATCGCATCTTCCAACCGCTTAATTGGCGTTTCCTTCTTTTCCCTGATGCAGAGTGATGACTCAGCGTCTGTATTCCTTTCCAAATAGTGTGGCACTCTTTTTTTTTTCCCCCTTAGTCTGAGTAATTTCCAATTCATTGTTTAAAGTGAGCACCTTGGGTTTTCCCAGCCTCTCCAGGCCTACTACTCCTGCCTGGAGTAAATACAGAGTCAGCCTGCTGCTTTGTCTCTCCTCCCTCTGCCTAGTATTGATTGATATGATGATCAGAGTCCACTTGGCTTGTTTAGCTGATGGGGAAAGTACTTTTTGGGAAATGGACGGCGGTGGATAGACATTCAGGACCTCTGACTAGCTTCTGAGAGCTTCATATGTAGCACAGAAAATGTGTTCAGTAAAGAAGGTCCATATGTATATTCAGTGTTGATACGGATTTTTATTTTGAGCATTTTTTATACTTTCCATTTTTATTTTTCTTAACATCTGGTTTGGGGAACCTGAAAACATCCTAAACATATCATACCCCTTAATGAAAAATCTTTGTGTGTGTGTGTGTGTGTGATTTTATATTTCTGCCTTCCCCAGAAAAAAGATAATTGAGACAAAATTTGAAATTTCTTCTTCAACATTTGTTTAAGCCAAGGCTTGGTATTTTATAGTTAGCGGTGAGTACTGCCATAGAAGCATCTGGAGAAGCTAGACTTAAGGCCTAGCAAGTATAGAGTCAAGGAAGATGACAGTTACATTGTATCTAAAATACCTGAACTGTCATCATTGCATCATAATAGCTACTGGATAATTGGTAAATTCTGTCTCATTAACTGCATCTATTTGTTCCTTAGAAGAAGTTTCCTGTTTTTGTCTGTTACACAGTATGCCTTTTCTGTTTCTTTTATTCTGGTAGTCATCTTTGCATCCACTATCAGATCTCCTCTAGACCAGAGCTAAATTTTGATATTTCATACATTTATCATCTCAGATCTCTTGTCTTTTTTTTCCTGAAACACATTTCAGTTGTCTGTTTGGTCACCTAAAACTGTGATGTATACATATGAGTGAATAAACATCTTAAGCTCTATTGTTCCTGTATATTAGTATGTGTTTATATAGCTTCCTTTCCCACTTTTCTCCATGGGAAGTTGAAGTGTTTTGTTTTTAAATATAAGGACTGTACTGCTTCCTAGGTCTTAACCCTTCCTGCACTTAGTTCACTCCTTGGAATATAAAAGGTACTCAAATATTTTGCAATTGTACTTTGGTTAAATTAGTGTTGTCTTGTTTTTAAAAGTTATGATTGATTTAAATTATAGGTATTGTCATACTTCCTGAAGTTTGTTTATACATACACACACACAAATACATATACACATACGTACACACACACACACACACATGTAAACTTAATATAAAGTCTTGAAATCAAAGTAAATGTTTAATAGGATGTGATTTTGTTTATGAAGGACCTGTATTTTGCATTGTGATCTATGGATTAGGTGTTTCAAGTAACTACTATGGTTTTAAATAATGTTCTCTAAATAAAGCTTATCTTAACTTGTTTACTTTAAAATGCCTGTGTGTTACTAGTAAGGTTTTCTTCCTGCAGACACACACAAGCTAAGACATATGGTTATCTTCAGAAAACAATATGGTGTTTATAGCCTAGGTAGGTTTTTAAATATTCATTATCTACAGTATTACTAATTTATTTGATGGTATTTAAAGTGGTATAGAATTGCCTTGATGTTGAGTCTGAAATCCTGTTTGTCATATAGTTGCCTTAAGAGTCTGTTTTCTGGTGTTCCTTATTCTCATTTGACATTTATTTGGGGTTATTATGTATTGGTGATCTTAGAAACAAACCAATGAGATCACAGTATGAGATACTGGTGTTTGAAGTAGACCAGTCTTGTAGGATACACTTCAGCCTTGGGTTGTGTCTTTGCAGTGCAGTGATTTATCTGTGGTATCTGAACCCACAGTGCGACACTAAATTATCAGTCAATTGTAGTTTAGTCATCTGTTTGGTGTACTAAAACCCTAGAAATTGTGGATCTAGGATAAAACCAATGCTATCCATTAAGGCTATTTATTCTTCCTTGATACTCAGTAAAAAGGAGGAAATAAGCCATTGAGTTAGAGTGTGTCCTGAATATGTGTGAACAAAGCAGAAGAAAACAATCTAAGATCTCATAGACTTGGCCACACCATTGATTTAGCTGTATTCTGGCTATAATCAATCTGGTTCAACGTAATCATCTTTGTTTCTTCAAAGTGTGTGTGGGTCCAACCTTTAAAGGTCCTTGGTCAGAGTAGTTACCCTACACTACTGTGTCTTTCTTCTACTTTTCTGCTTTCTTTTTTTTTGGTTTTTTGAGACAGGGTTTCTCTGTGTATAGCCCTGGCTGTCCTGGAACTCACTCTGTAGACCAGGCTGGCCTCGAACTCAGAAATCTGCCTGCCTCTGCCTCCCAAGTGCTGGGATTAAAGGCGTGCGCCACCACCGCCCGGCTGCTGCCTTCCTAAAATGTAGTAGTCAACTTGGACAGTTCTTTAGAGGGCTATTGAGGGTTATTGTTGAAAATCTCCTTTTGTATAGGAACTTGTTAAGAAGAATCAAAAAGCTATCTTTATGGAAATGCAACCCCATTGTATTTTGTATAAAAGTACTGGTAATTTCAGCCTTGGTGGGGTTACTTTTTAGAATAAGAGCACACTCAGTGGAAAAGCTGTCATTAGCTTTCTGCAAGGCACAGTGTTCTTAATTTCTGCCCAGTTGGACATAGAAAATAGTTCATTGGCAATGTGAACTTCTTCCTGCTGTGAAACTGCCAAGTTTTCTAGTCTCCAGTTGACACTTAGACCCAATGTTAGGGATAAAGGTATCATTTTCAGTTATTAATGCTTCAGTTTCTACAGTTCTTGTTCTTAGAAGACAAGATAGACTGTAAGGTATGCATTTTCCTTGTTTTTCCTTGAGTTAAAAATCATTTTGGAATTTCCTAAGTGTTTTCTGTTACTATAAGAACTCAACTCCTTCTGCCATTTTGTACATGGTCTTCTGGTAGAAACTGCATATTTAAAAACCTCAAACTTTAGAATATACTACTACTTAGCTGCAGCAGAAGGTGATGTATAGAAAATACTATTTGGAGAGAAACATATCAACTCAATAAGCTACCAAAGGTGATGCTTACTATGATCAATTTTGAACCTTGTCCTAAATACCTTTGTTAGAATTATTCTGGGATGGATCATTTTTTGATAATGCAAAAGGCACAGTATACTACAGTATTTTTAGAAGTATAAATTGTGCTTCTTTTATATACATAAATTACAGACCCTTTAGTAGAAAAGTCAGTCTAAAATTTAATGTAGGTGAAATTATATACTGAATTGTGTCCTTTTTATCTTAACAAATTACGATGTCCTCTGTTATGGGAGGTGTTGTATGCTTTTCTCAAACAGTCTGCTGCTGTAGCAGTTAAATCTTAGTGAAAGTATTTGAAAAAAATAGGATAACTCAGTACTGGACTTTTCTATAAATATTTCATGGTATCCTAAACCTAAATGTTAGCAGTTTTGATCTTTGACAGTGCCAGATATGGAAATCAATTATATCCATCAGTGTGCCTCTAGAATCTGGCAGTTCCCTCACTGATTGGCAATGGGTTGGCTTAGAATGAAAGTCTTCTTAAACATGGCAATGGGTTGATTTAGAATGAAAGTATTCTTAAACAAAAACAGCGTTTACTGTGACTTAGGTGTGAAAAGTAACGTGCATTTTTTTCTTTTAAATGAATGTTTTAAAATATTAATCCAAACTTAAACCTGTTTAAATCATCAAAACTTTGCTGTAGTAAAACAATGTTCCATTTATTTTTGTTACTGGTTAGCGTCACGTTTAGAATTCACTGTTATCCCTTGTCCTCTCCCAGAAATGAGCAGACTAGACTGGTTAGATGAGTATAGTGTTTAGAAAATCAAGATTCCTTGCTCATTTTCTTTATTCTGTGTCTCTTACAAACGCAAGTTTTTCCATAGTCACCGGCTCATAAAGTCTCTGTGAGTGAAAAGGGACAAGCAGGTGTTTGTAGCTAGTTCATGATCCTTTAACTATTTACTGCCGCTGGAAAGAAAAACAAGTCACTGCATGGCCTACAGTGGGTCAGCTCCATTTACATTATAAGGAAAAGATGGCATACTAGAGTTAAACCAGTTTGTCTGCTAGCTTGTTCTTTTATTTCAGTAGCACAGGACTTGTGTTTCAGCCTCGAACATGTACCCTGAGGTTGTTGGTAACTGCTGGGAAGTTTGTAATAAGCTGGGAAGCTGCTGCTCATTTTTTTCTTCTTTTTTTTTTCTTTCATTTTTACATGTGTGTGTATGTGTGTGTGCTTGTGTCTGTGTGCATTATATGTGCATACATGTGAGCACAAAAGTGTGGGAGGAGGCCAGAAGAAAGCGTTGGATCCCCTGGAACTGGAGCTGCAAGCATTGTGAGCTGCCAGACCTAGGTGCTGGGAACTGACCTCTGTCCTTTGCAAGAACAGCAGACATGCTTAACGTCTGGGCCACCTTTCTAGCACCAGTTCCTTAACCAATCTTTTTAGGTTTTTCTTAACCATAGCTTTCTCTTGCCCTTTTTCTTTTAACATGTTTCATTTGAAAACTTTTTATGTATTTAACATGGCAACTGTTGCAAGCCTAATTTTGGACTCAACACTGTTTCCTGATGTTGTATTGTGGTTAGAAAAGTAAAATGGTATCCTTTTACTTCCCAGAAGAAACTATGTCACATTTTACAAGTAATATTTTGGTTTATGAAGTGGTTTGTGACAAATGTACATTTAAGGTGTTTATTGAGAACCAGAAAGACTTTTGGCAATTTATTGAGATAAGTTAAACACATAGTGTAAGGCATAAACCAAGGTATTCATCTCTTGGAGGTAAGGTGGTGACTTTTCTTTTTTCTTATTAAATTGTTAATCAGTTGGTGATTTGGGAGGAAAAAAAAACCTCAAACTTTTATAAATATTCAGTCAAAAGTATTTTGGGGGTTTATCTTAAAATCTTCTCTGAATTTCTAAAGAACTCTTCTTTTTTTTACAAATCTTTTTTTTTTTTTTTTGGTTTTTTGAGACAGGGTTTCTCTGTGTAGCCCTGGCTGTCCTGGAACTCACTCTATAGACCAGGCTGGCCTCAAACTCTCGAACTCAGAAATCCGCCTGCCTCTGCCTCCCAAGTGCTGGGATTAAAGGCACCACCACCGCCCGGCTAAAGAACTCTTCTTAAACTTTTATTTGTTATCCTCATGAAATTGACTTTGGTTGATCCTGGTACTTTTTTAATGAGGAAGTTTAAATTATTCAATTCCCTTTTTCTTAAACAAAGCAGTGAAGATGTACCATCCATCAGTAACAGTCTTCTTTAGCCAATAGTGGAGCAGACTCCAGCTTCCCTGTCCCACCTACCCTCTGTTTTGCTAGAACAACTGAACTCCCACTCTCTTCTTTGTTCCTGTAATTGTTTTGGTTGGCAGTGTTAAGACAAGCTCACTAACAACTACTGTGTAGTATTAGTTCATCAAGATGGTTTAGTAAATCAATATTTGTCATATGTATGGTATAAATTATTGTGAAATAGAAAATATAGCTATCATAGGGCTAGGCTTAACTGGAAAAATTTGTCAAAGACAGGGACTTGAAATAAAAGATAACAGATTAAACTAACACATTATAGGTGTAGCTAAAGAAACACAGCTGATAATGTTTTCTTTTTGTCTTTTCTCTCAGATACGTAGGTAACCTCTCCAGAGATGTGACAGAAGTCCTTATTCTTCAGTTATTCAGTCAGATCGGACCCTGTAAAAGCTGTAAAATGATAACAGAGGTAAGGTCTTCCTGGCTAGACAGGATGGTGATGATGATGATGATACATAGTTGATGAACACAATTTTAAAATTCATTTTAATTTAAGCTATTTTAATTTAAGCTTCAGATTATTCTGTTGGAGAGATTCCTGTTTGTGGTATTGACTTAATCCGTTGATTTGGCCAGTAATCTAGGTGTGGAATAAAGTCTGGTGTGAGAAGGCAAAGACTATGCACTGGTATTACACAGTCCTGATGGAGTTACCTTCAGGTGATTCTGCTTGTGAACAGTCTGTCTGGGAAAGATGGCAGATGATGGTATCTCACATACTCCAATGCAAATACTGATAATTCAGTCTCCGTTTCAAGTTCAGGGTTTGGTATGTTTTGAAGTCAGCACTTGGTTATTATGTGCACAGTGGAGCAGCGGACATCTTATGTATCTTTAGAAAATACTAAAGCCTGAAGATAGGAACTTAAACCATTATAATAATTTGATTTGCTCTAGAGATGGAGCTCAGTGGTAGAGCAGCAGTATTCATGATATGCAAGGCCCTGGGGTCAACTCATAGTTCCAAGATAAAATCTAAAATTCTGTCTCATTTTCAAAGAAAAATTTTACTTTTCTCATTAAGACTCTAGTTGTACATAATGACTCATATATCAGTCACTCTTTTCTTCCTTTCTGCTTGTTTATCAAATTTGTTTGACTGCTGTATATCAGACACTGTGGTAAGTGCTAAGAATCCATTGGTGAATAAGAGAGATCCAATAAGATTTTAGGGCAAGTAGGAGACTAAAGTTAACACTCACATAGGATATAGAATAGAAAGCTCGGGATCATTTAGCTTAAAGTGCTGCAGGGACTTCAGGAGAATACCTGCTGTGGTAGTGGGTCACGGGAGTTTCTACTGGCAGTCAGAGTACAGACTGGAACCCACAGGATAACAGACACTTCTGCAGTGAAGTCTGAGGAAGAAGATCTGTGAGAAGAGTGTCATAGAGCCTGCAGTATAAGGGGAGAGCCCATGAAAAAGAAAAAGCAGAGCGCCCGTTAGTTGTGTTGAGTAGATGTGTAGCTGGAGTTTGAAATGGAATTAGACATAGAAATGCCAGTCGGTGATGAGACAAGTGTTTGGAAGGGCATGGAACTGTACTGGATTCTAAGGAACTGGTGTTTTAGCCTAAAATGGAGAACTATAAAAAAAAAATCTGTGAAGAGCATTGGCCTTTTAATCTCTTAATTGATAACACTTACATTCTGTTGTGTCTATTTTTCCTTCTTTTCATTTCTAACTTTGAGTCTATATTCTTTCATTAATAAAAATACTTGTCATGGGACTATTGAAGGCACTGTCAACACAAGGGAAAGGCAGAGGGAGTTCCAGTTGGATAGAGAGAAGCACTATGGAGAGGATAAGTGTTCTGTGATGACGAGTGGAGAGTGAGGCCGAGGTCGTGTGGAAGGGAAGACCTTACCTGTCTTAGTCTAGGCAGGGATATCAAGATGGTATCATCTGTGTTAAAGACTAGAACAGAGGGAAAGCAAAACAGCAAAGCCCTTGATTTCATAAAGAGGATGACTGGAATCTAGTGGGTGGTTGTGGAGAAAGGGTCTAGTAAGACAGGCAGGATTCAGAATCTCAGGGCAGAGTTGAGATTGTAATGAGTCTAATTTGTATGTTTAAAGATCTGTCAGTGTGGAAAATAGTTTGTAGAGGGTTGCAGGAGAAAAACCGGACGGGTTTATTCTGTTTGTCTGTGTAAGAGATGATGGACTGGTGGGTGTTAGAGTAGTGAAGAAAGACAGTGTATACATTGAGAGTTTTTATTTTGGAGGTAGGAACAATAGGACTAGAATGTCATAGGAGTCAGGGGACGCTTAAGATTTTTGTCAGTGCTATCAGGTGGGAGTAAGCATACTTCTTGCTAAAATGAGAATGACTGAGAAAGGCACAGGATGGATGGAGGAGTGGTGGCAATCAAGAATTTTGTTTTGTCAGTGTTAAATTTAAGATACACTTTGGCTATACAAATGGAGGTTTTATGTAGGAAGTTGGATAAGTGAGTTTGGAATTGCAGAGAATGGTGCTGAAGGATACAGTAAATTTTTTTTTTTTTTTTTAAATCCATGAGACTAGGTAAGATCACCTAGAAAAAGGTAGAGGAAAGTGGAGGGCCTGAGGTCTGAGGCCTAGAGCTTGGAACAAATCAGCATTCAAGAGTCTCAGACAGAGTTAAGGTGGAGTGACAGGCAGACCTTCTGAAACAACCTCCAGTGAGGAAGTAGAACACCAGTATAAGAGACCATTTACAGCAGGGAAGATGGTGGTCAGTTGTTGTGACTTGTGTGGAAGAACAGAAGAAAGATGAGGTGACAGAGAGGTCACTGGTGAGTTAGCATGCAGTTTCAGTGTCTGGGTCAGCTTGATGGCAGTGGCTCTGAATGACTTCAGGAATACAGATGATGGAGAAAAGAAAAAGTCACTAGAATAGTCTTGATTCATCTGATATTTTTAAAAATCTCTGTGTGTATACAGACATTTGAGGAGTGAGAAGAACTCTTTACAACTTAATCATGTATTCTAATTCCTAGATTTGAACCTGTAGATAGTTTTAAAATCTCTCATATATCTGTTTTGACATTTGTGTCATCCAGTCAGTAATGGTGACCAGACTAATTAAGGTAAGGACTCAACTGATTGGTAGAGTGTTACTTGGCAGTGGTCTAGGTAGGAAGTTTCTAAAGGACATAGACTCCAGGAAGGAATATCTAACATCTAGACAGTTTCCTTTTAGAAATTTGATTTTGTTATGTAAAGAATCCTGAGCAGCTGGGCAGTGGTGGCGCACGCCTTTGATCCCAGCACTTGGGAGGCAGAGGCAGGAGGATTTCTGAGTTCAAGGCCAGCCTGGTTTACAGAGTGAGTTCCAGGACAGCCAGGGCTACACAGAGAAACCCTGTCTCAAAAAACAAAAAAACAAAAAACAAAACAAAAAAAAAGAAAAACAAACCAAACAATCTTGTTTTTTGTTTTATGATTTCTTTTTATTTGGTCTGTATTGTTGAGACAGGTCTTGCTATGTAGCAGTGAAACTCACCGTGTTGTTCTTGAACAAGTGGCGATACTCCTGAGTGGAGGGGCTATAGGCCTGGGCAACCACATCCACCTGCTTTGATTTTTTTTTTCTTTCTTATATTAGCTATTATCATAGACTCTAGTTTTCACTATATAATGGTATGCAATGTGTATATACATATAATCTTTAATTTTAAGACAAACATTAAAATATTTAACATCTGACAGTTGAGTTTAAACACAGACCAAACACAATGCGATGTGAATATTTAAATACAATAGTTTTCCCATACTTGAGGTCAGCTTCAGTTCAAGATATAAGTGAAAATGGAAGATTTCACAAGAAAAGAATTTATAAGTTTGTTTTTTGTTTTTGAGACAGGGTCCCTGGCTGTTCTGGAGCTTACTGTGTGAATCGAACTGACCTTAAACTAGCATAGATCCACTTGTTTCTGTCTCCTGAATATTGGGATTTAAGGCAGGTGCCACCATGCCCATCCCAATTGAAAAGCTTTGAATTACAGATTTGAATGGTGTAATGAAATCTCTTAGTGTCTAGAATGAGACAAAAAGGATTTGTGTTCAACATATTCAGATTGTGCATGCTACCCACCTATGAGTCACTTAGTAACTGTCGTCAGATGACTGAAGCATCTATGTAGTGCTCATGCTCCAATAACTTGTACTTAATGATGGCTCCAGTGTGAATTAATGCTGACAATTTGAAATCCCAAAGATAAGTCAAAAAGTGTTCCCTTTAGATGAAAAGGTGAAAATTCTGCAGTTAGTAAGTAAAGAAAATTACAAGCTGAGTTTGATTATTAGCAGTAGGAGTGAATCTTTGAAAGTGTAAAAAAATGAAAAAAAAATTAATCCAAGTTTTTCTGTTGCACCTAAAACTCCACTTAGCGTGATCTGGCTAAAGTGTGTTGTTCCAATGGACCGGCATTTCTGGCCAATCAGAATCATGTGGTATTTGTCTCAAAAGAAAGAAACAAACAAAAGATGGAATAGGCATTATAAGAAAAATAGTGTAAAGAGGACTTAATGCTGTCATAGATTTCAGGCATCTGTTAAGGTCTTAGAACACGTTGCCCAAAGATAAGGGGAGCCACAACACATGCACACACAGAATATGAAAGTATCAATATGAACATACAGGAACTGGCCTGTTCCTGCTTAGATGAAATTGGTATTACTCTGCATGAATATACTAGTTTCCTAAAATCTGTGTGATGGTTTTATATATCATTGTATTAAAATGCGACAGGATTTTACTATATGGCCCAAGCTGGGCTAGAACTGTTATGTAGACTAGGCTGGCTTCAGACTTGAACTTTGAGATCCACTTGCCTCTGCCTGCAGGGATTAAATATGTGCTCCAAGATTGGCCCAGATTGTTTTATTTTTTTGTGGTCTGTCTGCCGGCGTCAGTGAATGTGTCTGGTAAATATTCACTCTTTTCATAGGGGAAAACTTGAGTGTTTTTATTTGTGGTCTTCTCCTATTTCCTTTCTCTGCTTCTTTCTATTGTCTTATTTATGGCTATGACAATAGGATTTTGTGTGAGAGAGCATAGAGCCCACGTATTACTCTTAGGACATTTTACATTAAATAGTGCTGGATGTTTTAACCTGACATTAAAATGTACATTGAGCTGCGGTCCCATATAGGTCTCAGCTTTCTTTAAAAAATACGATTTTTAGGTAGTGCTGATTTCTTAGCATCCGTATTAGTTATGTATTTTCCAACTCATGAACATTTTGTTTTGTTTTCTTTTAACTTGGTGCTTTGTGATACGAATTTGTAGCTCTGACCTGGGTTTACTTAATATTTATTTAGTTACTTGGTTTTAAGATCCTAGGTGGCAAACCCATGCCCTGACACACGCTAGACACTTGCTCTGTCACTGAGCTGTACCCAGCATGTGCTAGAATATATACATTTTCAGCAATTATATTCTAGATCACTAGTATATTTGCTTGACACTGAAAAGACAAATTCAAAATGTTTTTATATTCTCCAGTATATTATGCTTTCTAAAAAGGTATGTCTTTCATATATGTATGTGCATATGGAGATCATGTTGGCCTTCAACTTAGTCTTCTGATTCTTCTGCCTCTGCTTCCCAAATGCTAAGATTACATGTATGTATAATCATGCCTAGCTATCATGCTTGTTCGAAAGATGGAGGATTCATTTTATTAACTAGTTACAAGAATTTTTCTATTTTTATTCTTTATTTCCTCTTTTAGAAAAGGACTACATTATATCTAGTCTGGTTAACAATACAAAATACTATATATTGTAGTACTCACTACCCTAGTTTTGATCAGAGGTATAATGGACTCATTTCTATATATTTTGTTTGTTTTCTTGAGACAAGGTCTCTCTTTATAGCCTTGGCTGCCCTGAAACTCTATATAGACCATGCTGGCCTGGTCACAGATCTCCCTGCCTCTGCCTCCAAGTGTTAGGATTAAAGGTGTGTGCCACCATGCCCGGCTACATTTTTGTAAATTTTTTTTCTTATAAGCCTGAAATATAGTATATGAAGGATTGTAATGCATAAGTAGAAATCGGCCTTTTAGAATAATGTTGGAGCTGGGTGGGTGTGGAGTCTGCCTTTAATCCCAGCTCTCAGGAGGCAGGCGGATCTTTGAATTTGAGGCCAGCCTGGTTTACATAATGAGTTCAAGGACAGGAAGTAAGGTTTCTCTGTTTTGAAAAAAAACCCTAATCATAATAAATATGATAATGATGATGTTGGAAGAAAAGAGCAGTGATAATGAGCAGTCCTCACTACATCCGAGATAGAGGTTTGAGACTCATAAAAGGTTCTAGCTTATTAGACTTCCCCAGTCTTCTATATTCTAATTTAATCCTCACAGCCATGATTCTTTACTGTTTGTATGGCTCTCCTTGATCAAATACAACAGTATTCTGAGGCTCAGCGTAAGTCTTAAGTGTTAGGCTTTCATAGACTTATGGATCTCACCTTATGCATTCCTAGCTGTCAGTAATGTTTTTTCCTGGATTTTCTTCTCAGCAACCCGATAGCAGAAGGGTCAACTCTTCTGTTGGATTTTCTGTTTTGCAGCATACAAGCAATGACCCATATTGCTTTGTGGAATTTTATGAACACAGAGATGCAGCTGCTGCATTAGCTGCTATGAATGGGAGAAAAATTTTGGGAAAGGTAAGATAATCGGATGATGACATCCAGTGAATGTGTATGTATGCATGTTAAATCAGACTGTATTCTTTCCTTAGCAAGATTAAAAATAGACAATCGGCTTCTGAGTGGTCTCTATTCAGCCTAGTGCCTTTGCACAAATAATTCAACTTGATAGATGATTTATTAAGTGGTAAGTGTTAACAGTTCATAATGACATGCCTAATAATTGTATTAAATATAATCTTTGTTTTTAGGAGGTCAAAGTAAACTGGGCAACAACACCAAGTAGCCAGAAAAAAGATACTTCCAGTAAGTACTTCTGCTGCATGTTACTGTGGAGGCGTGACATTGTCCTGGCAGCGTTACCAGCTTACCTAAGGTTCTTTTCCACTTTTAGTGTTGCCTGACTTCTTAAGTATTTGATTACCAAATGCTTTGATTGATTTCAGATCACTTCCATGTGTTTGTGGGGGATTTGAGTCCAGAAATTACAACAGAAGATATCAAATCAGCATTTGCCCCTTTTGGTAAAATATCGTAAGTATCATAATCAGTATCAGACTCAGTAGCGATAGGCAAAACTGTATGATTAACATGTATTAGAATCAAGGTTTTCTTTCTCTAGTTAGTGTGTTTTTCATTTGTTTTTACTTTTCTTCTTTTGGTTTGTTTTGTTTTTGAGTAGATGTTGTTGCAAATGTTGATGTCATTTCAATGTTTGGGGTCTTGTTTTCAGATAACCTTGTGTATAATATGTTTAAAATTTTTAAGTGATTCTGTTTGTTACATTTAAAGCAAATATTTAGATGGTAAAACTTCTAGCTCTTTGTCAAATGTTTTCAAATATTGATGGTTAAGAATATTGGGTTAATGAAAACTAAATGTGATCTTTATTGTGTATTAAACTTTTATTGAAGGAGTTTTTAAGTGGCGGGGGGGGATCTAGGCAAATCCTTGTATTTTATGGTTAAATTGGAAATGTCCTTGTTTAACTATAATGATAAATGTGTTTTAATACTTAGCTTTGAGACTATGTTATACCATTGCAATATTAAAATGTTTTCATGTCTAGATAATAAATATGAGATTAAATTGACTTTTCTTAGTGATATTTGATTTTGCTAGTGAGGGGACAAATATGGGTTGATTTTTAAAAGTATATGCTCAAGTTTTGTTATTTGATTAAATATATTGGAAAATTAAAGGTGATTACAAGTTCTATAAAATGTCATAATTTTGATTAAAATGAATTGGTTATATATTTGTTGATTTAAATTAAATGTATAACTACAGAAATGTTTTAAGAACAACTTTTCTATTAATTTATAACTTGTTGTTCTATAGACTTAACTTATTTGTAAGAAAGATTTAATTCTTAATTTTCTATTTTGATATTTGCTTTGCTTTTTAATGTAAATGTGGTAAGTAGTATTGTTGTAAAATTAGTGTAAAATGATACAGGTTGCTGTTTTTGATCTTTATTTATACCTGAGACCTGCAGTTTTTCTACAGTCCAAGTCACAATTAAAAGTAATAGCATTCTGGTTATTTTGCAGAATTGCTCATAAGAATGGACAGGATCTTGAAGGCTAACTGCAAGGAACTGTGCACACTGGAACTCAGTTGTAGATTTTTTTTCTCATTTCTATTTATTCTTATTATACATTATTTATATATACATATTTTAGTATTTACATTTTAACATTCTATATTCAGTGGAGTTCTATATTTCCAATCATTTTAACTTACTCACTAAAATTTCTGTGTAAATTTGTTGTTTTCGTACTGGTGTGCTTAGCGTTGTTGTTAGTTTTTTATTCTCCTTTCTTAAATTTCTGAAAATGTCAATTTTTCAAAATTTACAGCTGCCCAAACTCCAAAATGATGATAGAGAATTGACCAAGAAAAATAAAGAAATCTGTTAACAGGCCATGTATGCCTTTTTAATTCCTATTTTTTCCTCTTTTTCAATTTTTTAATATTTCATATATTTTGTATCACTAGGCAGAAGACATTTAACTATTTAGATATTGCATGGTAAAGTAGTTAGCATTGTTACAGTAATTTATAGAATCAGTAAGTCTTAGAGGACACTAGCAAATAGAATCTTAGAAAAGGAAATTGTTGCTCCTGTTAGTCTTCAGATCTGAGTGTCTAGTTAGAAAGCACAGGCTATGTGATTAGGTTGCATGTTTATTACATGTTTTTGTCCTACTGCTTTTTTCTAACAGGTAAAGAAGCATTAGGGAGAGTTCAGGAATGGCTGTAGTTAATTAGGGCTAACTGGAGTTTATTTTTAAAATGCTCACAATACAGTGTGTGTGGTTCCTTTTAGTTTTTATTTGGAGGGTGACTTTTACTTCCCTCATTTAGCTGTGCTTCTTTTCACAGGGATGCCCGGGTAGTTAAAGATATGGCAACTGGAAAGTCCAAAGGCTATGGCTTTGTATCTTTTTATAACAAACTGGTACGTTCTTTCAATTAACTCAATTAAAAATCTTCAGTTCTGGATTAGTTGCTTCATTAAAATTAATGATTGAAATTTAATGTGCTAGAATGTTAACTTAGAAATAAAACTTTTATATAATTTCTTTTAGCATATTAGTAATAGAAGATAATTCATTCTTTCAATAACTTGAAAGTACATAGAAAAGGCTAGGGTGAAAGCACAGTGAAGGAAGATTAATAAAACACATTTGTGCATTGGTGAAGGCACAGTGAGGTAGAAGTAAAGCCCAAAACTAGTAGAACAAACCAGTTATGAGAATTATGTTCAGTTTTAACCAGGGAAGTTGATTTTAATAATTTCACCAAAACTCTATTTTTACAGTGAGTATTGTTACAGCAGTTATGTATGTTAGCCTCTTTTTACATTTTCTTCTGTAAATGATACATTACAAAGCAGCCATAAAATTAAGGCACTTAATTTTATGAAATGACCTTGTGAAATGCCTGTTTTTCTTTTGACACATTTGTGTGTATTTGAGAAAAATGATTTTTGGTTGATCAGTGCAACATAATTCTTGAACTTAAGTGTTATATTAGTGTTTTCAAACCCATTAAGTAAAAAACAGCTTTTATGGTTCAAGTTGTTTATTGGTGACACATTTGTTACTGGTGATTAGTGGACTCCCGGATGATGGCATGCATTGGACGCATGCATTTGTCTTACTATGTCTTAGAAAGTTTTTTCCTTTGTTTCTGATTGCTCTTTTTAAAAATGTTTTTTCTCCATAGGATGCAGAGAATGCAATTGTGCATATGGGGGGTCAGTGGTTGGGAGGTCGACAAATCAGAACCAATTGGGCCACACGTAAACCACCTGCCCCTAAAAGTACACAAGAAAGTAAGTTACATCTGTATACGTATTGCAAGTATAGATTGTGATCACACCATGTAGCATTATGTCTTAATTTCTTAGTATTTAATTAGTGTAAGACCTAACCTTGTATTTCATTATAGGAGCTTTAGATATAAGTTGAGAACCGACTGGTTTATTTATAGATAAGATCTGTATTTAAAGCTAAGGCTATCGCTGAGTTGGCAAAAGTTGTTGTGCTTGCCTAAGATGCACGAGGCCCCTGGGTTTGATTCCTAGCATCATACAAGCCAGGTGTGGCTGCTCATGCCTATAATTTTAGCACCTGGGGAATGGATGCAGAAACAGAAGTTCAGAGTCCTCTTCAGTATCATAATGAGTTCAAGCTTAGCCTGGAATACTTGAGGCCCCACCCCCAATGTGTTAAATCATAACATTGAGAAAAAAAATTGTTCCCATTCCGGATAGTGGTGGCGCACGCCTTTAATCCCAGTGCTTGGGAGGCAGAGGCAGGCAGATTTCTGAGTTCCAGGCCAGCCTGGTCTACAGAAACCAAAAAAAAAAAAAAAAAAAGAAGAAGAAGAAAAAGAAAAGAAAAGAAAAAAGAAAAAAAAAATTGTTCCCTCCCACTGGGATATATTTTAACAGTATGTAGCCAGGAGTGGTAGAGCATGCCTTTAGTCCCAGTACTTGGAGGCAGAGTCCAGCCTAGTCCACATAGGTCCAGGATAGCCAGGGCTACATAGAGGACCCCTGTCTCTAAAAACAAAGATTTAAAAATTATATGTAAGAACAGAAGATTGTGTATATGTGTGGTTCTGGGTAGGACCTTGCACACTGCTAGGCCAATGTTCTACCACTTAGTTATAACCTTAGCTCAAAAAGTAGTTTTGTAATACTGTATAACAATCCAGATTTCATCTTTTGTTTTCTTCTTATAGCTAACACTAAGCAGTTAAGATTTGAAGATGTAGTAAACCAGTCAAGTCCAAAAAACTGTACTGTATACTGTGGAGGAATTGCTTCGGGGCTGACAGGTACAGTGCTTGGTTTCCTAATCACCTTCTGTTGATATTTCAACACTATATTAGTATAAATTTCATGGTTAGCATGAGCTTTAAATATTTTCTTTATGTATTTTTCTTTGTATAGATCAACTTATGAGACAAACATTTTCACCGTTTGGACAAATTATGGAGATAAGAGTCTTTCCAGAGAAGGGCTATTCGTTTGTCAGGTAATGTTGGAGCTGTGAGATAAGTAGTGCTCATGCATCCTCCGCATTCCTTTTACTTACAGTATTGGGTCCTCACTAGATGGCAGCTTACCCATGGCATGCACATGTAACGTGAGACAGATGATGACAGACAACTAACGGTGTCTAGTTGATGAGTTTGCCCATGTTCTTAAAGACTGAGGGCAAAACCTCACTGTTTTCTCCTCCTAGATTTTCAACTCATGAAAGTGCAGCCCATGCCATTGTTTCTGTGAACGGTACTACAATCGAAGGACATGTGGTTAAATGCTATTGGGGTAAAGAATCTCCTGATATGACTAAAAACTTCCAACAGGTAATTCGATTTTTCTTAGCATCTTTTAAGGTTTCCATCTTACATATCTACGTAGGAGCTTTGGAAATTGTAAAATTAACAGTAAAATAAAGCATATAGCTGCTTTCAGTTGATTATATAAAATGCTATTTCAAAATTGTTTTGCGGTATTAACTGAATCTTAATACTTTCTTTTTACAGGTGTCACCACCCCAATAAACTTAGACAATGATAAATAACAGAGTCCTATTCACATAAGGGTGCTTACTTAGTTTTTCTCTTCCTTGTCTCCCACTCTTTCTTCATATACGGTGTTTTGTTCTTTTTCCCTAAAACAGTCATTTGCTTTTTCCTAGGTTGACTACAGTCAGTGGGGCCAGTGGAGCCAAGTGTATGGCAATCCCCAGCAGTACGGACAGTATATGGCAAACGGGTGGCAAGTGCCGCCCTACGGAGTGTATGGGCAGCCGTGGAACCAGCAAGGCTTTGGAGTAGAGTGAGTTGTTTTGGTTTTTCCATTATAGAAACAGATGAGCTTCTGGCAAAAGAGAAATCTGTGCTCTCCTAGGGGAGAGTCTGTTGAAATGATGGTACATTAAGGCATTTGGGTTATAGATGGTACAGTAACAAATCTCAGGAAATATGGTTTGTAATGCTTTTAATTACAGAGATGGGGAATGCAATGTGACCTCTCTATAAGCAGTTGGTAGAATTTGACTTACCTACAGTGGCATTTTAATTTAATTTTGTCTGTATAAAAGATCTTTGTCTAGAATATGCTTAGAAACATGATGGTTTCTTTTTTATCTTTTCTTTTTTTTCCGAGACAGGGTTTCTCTGTGTAGCCCTGGCTGTCCTGGAACTCACTCTGTAGACCAGGCTGGCCTTGAACTCAGAAATCTACCTGCGTCTGCCTCCCAAGTACTGGGATCAAAGGCTTGCGCCACCACTGCCCAGCAAAGCATGATGTTTTAATATTTTGCCTTTATAGGACATCTTCGCAAGTTATATGACAGAGCAGTTTTCGTTCTGTGATGGTGATAGAGTGGATTTGTGGCTTCGCTTTCTCTTCTAGGCTGAGCTAGACCTTTATTTTCACAGTGTTATTGAGAATACTACAAAACTCGACTGTAACACGAGTACTTGCCTACTAAGTCATTTATTTTTACTTTGTAAGACAGTGTCTTCACTGTAGCCCAGAATGGCCTAGTTCTCACTTGGTAGCCCAGGCTGACCTCAGACTTAGACTCATAGCTGCAGTCCTGTCCCAACCTTCCAGGTACAGGGATTACAGATAGGAGGTCTTATACCTGGCTCTGTTGTTGTTGTTGTTACTATTCTATTTTTATTTTTGAGATAGGGTCTCTGTGTGTAGCCCTGGCTGTCCTGGATGTTAACTTTTTGAGATGGTCTCAGTGTAAGCCCTGGTTAGCCTGTAATTATATAGACCAGTTTGGCTTCAAACTCAAAGATCCACCTGCTTCTGCCTCCCAAGTGCTGGGATTAAAGGTGTGTGCCACCATGCCCAGCCCTTATTATTTAAAAAAAAAAAAAATCAGCTTTCAGGTAGTTTGCAGACTGAAGGTAAGTTGTGATTATCTTAACAAAACATGCTGGGTTGTTGGGCATTGTATCATATAAAGAAGGCCCTGGGCCTGATCCTCAAGCACAGCAGTGAAATAAAAACATGAAAAGCAGCTTTAAGACTTAATGGTAGTGTTTGTGTTCTGCATGTGTTCTGTTTGTTGTAGATTTGTGGTTTTATCTTTGTGTTCTGTGATTAGACTCTGCCTGATTTTATATAGCTGTATAGATTATCTTTTTCTCGTGTTTGCTGAAAATGTTTTCCCCCTTTCTTCCAAGTCAATCACCTTCTGCTGCTTGGATGGGTGGATTTGGTGCTCAGCCTCCTCAAGGACAAGCTCCTCCCCCTGTAATACCTCCTCCAAACCAAGCTGGGTATGGAATGGCAAGTTTCCCAACACAGTGAGCTGGGACTCTAAACACAATTATAAATCACCACAGGCTCCAATCTCCTGTGACACTGAAGACATGAAAAGGAAACATCGGAAAATGGAAATATTTATTTTAAAAATTGAAATGTTTGGACCCTTTAGCACAGCTTTGCTTGGTGAAGGACACATGTCTTCTAGTTCTGCCTTTTTAAGTTTTTGTTCATGATGGATATGAACATGATTTTTCTTTGTGTACAAAAAACTAAAATAAAGTCAATAAAGACAATTCTGACTATAAATTTTGATATAATAGGAGAAATGGGTAATACACTTTGATCCTTAGACACTATTCCGTTTTTATCTTGCTGTTCAGTATTTTAACTCACTGTGTTTTTAAAAGAGCAAAAAAGGGAGTATCGTGAAAAACTGAGAATCACATCAGTTCGTCCTGAATTATGATACTCCCCTCCCATCCCTGAGGTGGACCACATAGAAGTCAGCAGGAAAAAGTGATTTCAGAAGAAGTACATGATGTGGGAATCGCTGTGGAAGAAACACGTTATTCTCTTATGTTAAAGAAAATGAAGCCAGACTGAAAGCTTACAGCCTGAATAAGGACCAGCATCATCGGAGTTTCTTGAATGATTGTTGGTGGTCCATATTAAGACATATTTTTAAAACTTTAAAAGTGTTGGTTATCAAAAATGTATATTACATTTCATTTTGAGGGAAAATTCCAAGTATGATGTTTATATTAAAGTCAGATGGTCATACATGTCTTTTACATGGAGTTTAAATGACAAACGTTGTAAATATTGAGAACTACAGTGTTTCCAAAGCATGCTTCAACATAGAAGTAGCAGCAATGTCATTACTCGAGGGGACAACATGCTCGCTGCGAGTGCAGTGCTCAGTAGCAGTGTTAATACTGACGTCTTCACGTCTTCACAGTTGGCCATGTAAAATGAGAACGACACAAATGACTACACAGAAGAAGCCTTAATTTCATACAAACCTTTGATGCATTAGTATATTCTAAATTGTAAGTGGAAGTTAGATTTGGGCTTTTTTTTCCTTCCCTCTTTGTTTCCTTTTGTTTTGCTTTTGTTTTGGTACATAAATACCTTGATCAAAACCCAGTGAAATGATTTCAGAGTTCCTATAAGTTGTATAGCACAAATTTTTTTTTAAAAAATCTTGGGATGTTTTTAAAAATTAGTATATTTTCCCCAAGAATTTTTTAAACAAGATTGCTAAAATATCTTAGACAACTTAATGTACCAGTTTATAATCTGATAACCAATCTGAGTCTTACACAAAGTTGTGACTTTTATTTCTAATTTGTTTTTTTTCCCCCTTGGGAGTGTGTGGGTGACAGATCTGAATAGGCCTGAGTTGTATGTGTGCAGTTTAATTGAATCTTTGGGAAGATGTGGGAGTTCCGGACATGCTCTCGCAGTATCTTTCAGTCTATGTGGATACAGTCTGCCTCATAGTTCTATAAAATGAGAATGTGAAATAGATAAAATCCTATGTGTTTCAATTGTGACAGCTGGGGGTGCAAATATTTTAATAGTGTGTTAAACCTGTTGGCCTGTGTATGCACAAGAGCAAAAAACCCTAACCTAACCTTTTTGAGGTAAGATGGGTAAGACGCACCTGGCATCCACACTAAGCTGTTGAAGTCTAAAGATTAAGGTAATGTGGTTTGTTTATATATATACATACATATATGTATGTATATATATATTGGTGACCACAAAGATTCTGGAGTTTATTCCCTCCTTCACTTAGAAATACAGCCAAATGTATTCAGCATAAAAATGTACAGGGTCTGAAGTTCTTTTTTGAGCCAAAATCTTTATGTACCTTAGGTTTTTTTGTTTTTTGTTTTTAAACCACAACTAACCCTGTGTTACACCCGTCAATGGCTAAATATACCCATGGGGGTTTTTTGGTCATACCTTTGGGGAATGTTTTTGGAAAAGTTATTTTATATTTTATAAGAAGAAAACAGGAAGCTATATTCTGCCCTTGAATTAAGATTTCCATTAAACTTTGTGAAACTCGAACAACCTAAAGACTTTTTAAGTTGATAAATTGATAAAAGCTTATTAAATTAAAATTTCAGTTTCCCTTTTTTTCCTCTGCTAGTAACTTAAGTGGCTTATTGAGATAACTAATGGCTAACTCTAGCTGTAGTCTTTTCTGTTTTATATGAGTTAATAAAATTATCCAGACTAGTTACATTGCCATAGTAAGTATGTGACTGACATATCTTTTGTCTTAATTTGGATGAGAAAAAATGTTTTTTGGTCAGTCACAGTCATTTCACAGCAACTAGTTTTAAGATAGAGAGGACGTGTGCAAATGAAATGCACCATTTTAAGAAATGGGACAATCAGCTCGCACAGGTCCAACTGTCTTACAATGCAGATTTGAGTTCATGCCCTCTGTCCACTTTAAGCCTAAGAACTGTTGCCTTTTCTTTCCTGTGTTCATCAAGAACAGCAGAGGGACTCTTTGGCATGCAAGGAGATGTCTCTCATAGTTTCTTGAGCTTTATCTTGGTGTGTTTGCCTGCCATCGTCTGTGCTTGAATCCTTTCTACTAGCATTTTCCTCGGTGCCAGTCCGTCTGATCTTTGTTTGCTGCCAGTGAGAGGCCAACTAAAGCCAAAGCTGTAAACCACAGTTGAAGTAAGTCTTTCAATAAAGACTAGTCTATGTAAGTGGCTTTCTCTTATTGTTGTTCATTGTGTAACTGTTCCAGTCTGCATGGAATCCACAGTTTGGCTTTATCAGGGAGGAGAAAGACATGCCTATAGTTTCAGGACTTAGGTTCTTTGCGTTAAATAAAATTCAAGGTCTGAATATGGAGAGACAAGAATTTGAACCCATGGGGTCAGTAAAATGACTCAGTGGGTAAAGGCGTTTGCTACCACACCTGAACTTGAGTCCTGTTCCCCAGGAAACTAAGTGGTGAAAGTTAACTGACTCCTGACTTCCATGCACATGGTTATGTGTATACTTCCATGGTTATGTGTATACTCATACTTTTTTTTTTTTTTTTTTGTGACAGGGTCTCTATGCAGTCTGGCTGTCCTGGAGCCCACTATGTAGACCAGGCAGGCTACTCACAGAGATCTAGCCTCTGCCTTCAAAGTGCTGTAATTAAAGGTGTACATTACCACACCTGACAAATAATACAACTTTTAAAAAGAAAATTTCATCCTAAAAAGAATATTCTGTTATACAGTAAAACTTCTGTTATTTTGAGTTCCATAAACTTATTTTTTACCATGTTTGGGGGGTAGTAAAAATTTGGTAGAAGTATCTTTGATTAAAGATTATTCAGAAACACAAATGCTAGACAACTCTTGTTCTAGCTATCCCCGAATTAAACTCACTTGTGTATATTTCAAAAATACAAAACTTTTAGCTTTTTCCAACTTTAAAAAAAAACCTTCACTCTGCTGGGTATGGTGGTACACACCTTGTAATCTCAATTCTCCAGATGTTGAGCAGAATGTCAAGTTCTAGACCAACCCAAGCTATATAGCAGAAACCTTGCCTTAATACCCTCCCCCAAGAGGAATCCTTATATTGCCCAGTGGAGTGTACATTTAAAAGCATGTTCTCCAATGCGTAGTAAAATAGTACCCTAGTAATTATGTTCATATAGGTGAAGATTGATGACTTTTTGGGAGCAGGTTGGTCAGCATGCTAGGGATGGAACCCGTGCTAGGCAAATGCTCTACTACCATAAAGCTAAACTCTTAGGAGACCTTCATTTGGTGAAGAGAGCTTGAAACAGCATCTCTCTATGTAGCTTAGACAGGCATAGAACTCATGATCTTCCTGCCTTAGCCTCTCTGGTGCTGGAATTACATGTATGTACCACCACACCACACACTGTTTGAATGCCCTGCTAATAAGAAAGTTGGTTCCTGTTCTCTATTGAAGTTGGGCCTGAAAGACAAGCTTGGCTAGGCTAGGTACTATAAATCTTAAGGTACTTTGTGCAAATACCTCTGTTAAGGCACAATTGACTAAGAACCTAAATATGAAAACATTTTGGGATTATGGTTAGCAGTAGAAGGAATATACACTTGTTTTTTTTTTTTTAAACATTTCTACAAGGGAAAAAAGGTGGGGGAGCCAGGAAGGTGGCTCAGTTGGTAAGAGCTCTTCAAATATGAAGACTTGAGTTGCATACCTAGCACCCATAGTTGGGACAGAGACAGGCAAATCCTGGGAGCTCACTGCTGAGCCAGTTTAGATGAAATAAGGTGTTTAGGTTCCAGTGAGAGACTATCACTATCAGAAAAGGTGTTAGTCTGGTGAGATGGCCCCACTAGCAGATGCTTGCCATCAAGCCTGATGACCCAAGCTCCGTCCCAGGCATTCATATTGTAGAAAAAATTGACTTCTGTAAGTTCTCTTTCTCATCTCTCCACATGCATCCCCACCCAGTTACATAGACACTAAGTAAGAACAGCACATTTAGTGCTGTATTTAAGAAAGTGGAAAAGTGTATTTAAAGAAGTGGAGAAGCTACTGAGGAAGACATCCAATGTCAACCCTACCATATGCCAGCACAGATGTGATGGACACACCCTTACATATGTACATGAGTATATTCCACAATGCAGGGAGGCACCAGTTACTGATAACAATTCCTTCTTTAGTAGAATTAGACTTGTTTAATGGGGGTGGGGGGTAGGGATGAATTGTGGTTTAGTTTTGTTTTTGTGCAAGAATGTACACCTGAGGATTTGCTCTTGCTGAGTGTGTCCTTCAACATTGAACTGTAGCCTCTCAGTGCATTACGCTTCACTCACCTTTTGTTTCTTTAAAATTTGTTGTGTATGAATGTTTTGCCAGCATTTTTGTCCAAATGAGTGCCTGATGTCTACAGGGACAGAAGAGGGTTACCTGATCCCCTAAAACTGGAGTTAAAAGATGGTTGTGACCAGTCAGAATGGCTAAGATTAAAAACTCAGGTGATAGTAGATACTGGCGAGGGTGTGGAGAAAGAGGAACACTCCTCCATTGTTGGTGGGACTGCAAAATGGTGCAACCACTTTGGAAATCAGTCTGGTGGTTCCTCAGAAAATTGGACATAACATTACCTGAGGATCCAGCTATACCACTCCTAGGCATATACCCAGAAGATGCTCGAACATATAACAAGGACATATGCTCAACTATGTTCATAGCAGCCTTATTTATAATAGCCAGAAGCTGGAAAGAACACAGATGTCTTTCAGCTGAGGAATGGATTCAAAAAATGTGGTACATTTACACAATGGAGTATTACTCAGCTATTAAGAGCAATGATTTCGAGAAATTCCTAGGTAAATGGATGGACCTAGAAATTATCATCCTGAGTGAGGTAAGCCAATCACAAAAGAACACACATGGTATTCACTCACTGATTATTGGATATTAGCCCAGAACCTTGAAATACCCAAGATTCAACTCACAGACCACATGAAGCTCATGAAGAAGGAAGACCAAGTGGGGGTGATTCGGTCCTTCTTAGAAGGAGCAACAAAATACTCAAGGGAGCAAATATGGAGACAAAGTGAGGTACAGAAACTGAAGGAGGGGCCGTCTGAAGAACATTCCACCTGAGTATCCATCCCATGTGCAGTCACCAAAGGTAGATGCTGATGTGGAAGTCAGGAAGTGCATGCTGATAAGAGCCTGATATAGATGTCTCCTCAGAGGTCTGCAAGTCTGACATATTCAGAGGCAGATGCTCACAACCAGCCATTGAACTGATCATGGGGTTCCCAATGGAGGAGTTAGAGTGAAGACCGTTGGAGCCGAAAGGGTTTGTGGCCCCATGAGGAAAACAACAATATCAACCAACCACAGCTCCCAGGGTCTAAACCACCAGCTTGGGAGCACTTAGGGAAGGATCCATGGCTTCAGCTGTATATGTAAGAGCGGAGGGCCCTGCTGGGCATAGGTGGGAGAAGAGATCCTTGGCCTCATGAAGGCTGGATGCCCCAGGGGATGGGAATTTGAGGGTGGGGAGGTGGGAGTGGGGGGTAGGTAGGGGTACATCTGCAGAGAAGCAGGAGGAAGGGTGAGGGGATAGGGGGTTCCTGGGTGTGTGGGAGATGGGGTAAGGGGATAACATATGAAATGTAAATAAAACATCCAATAAAAAAGAAGAAAGAAAGAAAGAAAAAGATGGTTGTGAGCCATCATGGGGTCTAGAAATAGAACCCAGGTCCTCTGAAAAAGCAGCCAGTGCTGCTGAGCTATTTCCCCAGCACCCCCTCTCCCCTTTTGGTGAGTTAGGGTATTGCTAGGGTGCCTGGGCTGTCCAACTAGTGGACTCAAGGAATCTTCTAGCTACAGCCTCTAGAGTAGTTGGGATTGCAGGTTTAAACCACTACCTGGCTGGTTTCATGTGTGATGTTTTGAAGTTACTTAGAAAATTCACAAAACAAAGAGTGCTAGTGCATTTGGATAGCGGTTGGAGGACAGCTAGGCAGTCCTGTGCGGAAAGCAACGGCTTCTGGTTAAGGCACAGTCATTAAACTTGAAGCTGGGCTCTGCTTACCTGTGGCCCTCACTATGCCTTCAATTCTCCCACTGAGGAACTTTGTACAATTTCTGGTCATTAAGTGGCACTGTAGAATTGGGTCATTTTAAAGATAAACTGGATTTTCCTACCCCTCAATTTTAAAGACATCATTAAATTTGAGTATGCCAGTAAACAGAAATTCAAACTTATTTAAGTAAAATGGCAAGAAGGAGCTTTATGCAATTTTTTGCTAATAATTGATATGTGCACAGTCCAGATTTTCATATTCAATAAACTGATTAAAAACTAAAGTTAAGCCAGTTGAAGCAATCTCCCAGTGGTTACAAACACTGACTGCTCTCCTAAGGACCCAGCTTTGATTCCCAGCATCCACATACAGATAGCTCACAGCCATCTGTAACTCCAGTTCCAAGGAATGTAAAGCCCTTTGCTGGCCTCTGCAGGTACCAGGTACACACATGGTGCATATATACACGCAGGCAAAACATCCATACACAAAAAAGAATAACCCTAAAGTTAGGGCTGGGGAGACAGCTTAGCCCATACACTTGCCTTGTGGGCAATGAAGACCTGTCTGTTCAGTCCCCAGAACCCATGATAAAGTTGGATGTGAGGACCCATGGCTGTAATCCCAGTCCTGGAGATGGGAAGAGAGAGCCTTGGGGTTCTTTGACCAATCAGCCTAGCCCAATCTAGGAGCCCCAACTCCCAATGAGAGACCCTGTCTCAAAAACCAAGGCGAGCAGCTCGTGAGGGACAACACCTGAGTTTGACCTTTGGCCTCCACATGCAAGCACACATACATGCACATAAATTTAATATTTACTTTTCTTTTTAAAGTAAAATGGGTTTAGTGGCTATGAGTGTTTGTGCTCCCAAAGACGATCTGGGCTTGATTCCCAGCACCCACATGGTGATTCACAAGCATTCATAATCCTAGTTTCAGGGTATCTGATACCCTCTTCTGACCTCCATGTGCATCAAGCATGTACATGATGCACACACATGACAGCAAACCCACAAAATGTATAAATCTAATTTTTAAAAAGTAAAATGTGGCGGCCGGGCAGTGGTGGCGCAAGCCTTTAATCCCAGCACTTGGGAGGCAGAGGCAGGAGGATTTCTGAGTTCAAGGCCAGCCTGGTCTACAGAGTGAGTTCCAGG